CAGCATTCATGAAAATGATAGTTTAAAAATTATATATCTGTTTAAGGGATAGTAAAAATTAAGGATAATAAAAGCTAACATTTGCAAGGTATGGATCTTCGTATCCTTTAAATAAAATATCATCTATAGAAACTTTCAAAAATGGTTGTTGTGAAGTAAGAGCAACTTGTGCCATAGTTGTAATTGGATTTGAAGCCATTTCGACAAATTTCTGAAAAAATTACAAATCAGAAATTTTTTTTTTTACAACTTAAAATTTTAAATGAAAAATATTTCAATGATTATTCTATTTTTCTTTTTTTTCCAAAAAAAAAAATGACTAAAACCTGGAAAACAATATTTGGAATCCAAATTTCTCGAGTTAATGAACATTCCGCGCAGGAAGCATTCTTGTCGAAAGTGAAATTATGAACATTTTGATATTTGACAGAACCATTACCAAAACCAAGAATATTTTTCTCCAAACTTACCTCATATGCATATGGACCTATTTGGATCATTTCTGGCTTATTTCCATCTAAAATCTATAAAATAAACTTGATGAGATATAAATCATAGGGTCTTGCTTATTTTAATTTTGCTTATTAAACTTAGATTTTTAATTAAAACATTTGGCTTATTTTATTTAAACCTGTTTGATTGTATTTTAATTTTCTCAAATTTATTCAACATATTTAATTATTCATCTTATAATTCATACGACTTTCTACCCCTTTTACTAATTAATATAATGAATGATAAAAATAGGAGGAGAGTATTTAATCGAGCAAATCTTAAAAAGTTAAAAATTATTTGACAAATAATAAATTGGAAAAGAGAGAGTATTTAATCGAACAAATCTTAAAAAGTTAAAAATTATTTGACAGATTAGTTGAATCATTGAGAAGATGTTTGCAAATAATATTTCATGAAAGGATTAATATTATTTGTTGTAGAAATGAAAAAAAACCTGATGTGGATTTTTCACTGAGTAAACAAAAATTTCCGAATTAAATTTATAATCAGGATTCTTCCATAAATGATATAATTCATTGTTTCGGGCAATATTCTTCTGCTACAAAATACATTTACTATATTTAGGTTAAATTTGAATATGAGATTTAGCGCATAAATTTAAATATTTTATATATTCATTGTCACCAAAAATAATCAATTATTCATAATTTATAATATTTCGTTTAATCGATCAGTGATCTCAATACCAAAACGTTTATTCAGGAAATATATAAAATTTGAAACATATTAATAATATTATTACCTGATAAATTCTAGTATTAATAAGATGTGGTGCAAGGAATATCATTGAAATACCAAACAGGGTTAATATAACCCCAATAACAAAGAGTAATACTTGAATAATGCGACAACGAATCGTTTTTAATTTGCATTTCTTTCCTTTGATTGTCATTAAGTGCTTTATCTGAATATGATAACATGATAAATTTGATCAATTTATTATAATGATCATATGCGACATCGATGATTCATTGATTGAAGCATAAAATGCTAAATAAAATTAAACCATTTTAGATAATTTTCTTAAAATATTAGCTGAATATTTTTTTGCTCCCTTGATATCAATTCATTCTAATTTATTCCATTATTCAAATTTCTTTCAATAGAAAATGCAATGATATGCTATCACAAATAAATTTGCATACAAACTTCAGGCATAAATTACAAATTTAGGAAGCATCCATGAAGCTTTTTTTTTTCTTTTAGAGTAGAAAATTTGTAAAATTTCACTTCATTTAAATGATTGATAGCTTAGCTTTGTCGTATTACAAAAGGTACCAATCATCTTTAAATTAAATTAAAATATATGATAGCAAAAATTAAATATGTATGTGTTTCAGTGCAAAATTAAATTTTTGAAAAAAAAATAATCACAACGATTTTACAAATAATTAATTCTTCGAAGAAAATATCCATCAAATTTTCAACTTAATTGTAAAAACTATCATCCATTAACACTAAACATAATTAAATTATTCATTCTTCATTAATAATGTAACAGAAAATTAATGGTAACTTTAATAAGAATTGAAATTCAAAAAAAAAAAAAACATAAAAGTGTGAATCCATTTTGTATTGTATCTTACTTTAATAATTTTCAAAATTATAAATTTTAGAAATAATTATTAATTCATTCATCAACTTTTATGAGAAATGAAAATTTTAAAAATATATATCTAAATTTTAAATATATCTATTTTATGTATTACCTAAAAAAACAATATACAAACAGCAAGAAAATTATTCAGAATTTTCCAGATTTAATCAAAATATGACCATTTATTTTCCTATTTTACAAAACTGCTCATCTTCGATTTTCAGTCTAAAATTTAGTCTAAAATTTTAGAAAATATGCATCGAAATTGAGCTAAACATTGCTAATGAAGTAAAAAATTCTGATTTGATACATGATATTTGTCGGTTAAAATTTCGTAAGTGTTGACAGCTCTTGTTATGTTCAGTTAACTGGTCAATGTCATCTAAAAAAAAAAATTAAGAATTGTCAAAAGGAAAAAAAAATTAAAAATTGTCAAAAGATGCTTATGATGTGATGGACCATTTAAAAGTTTTTTTAAACTTCATACTTCATATATTAGTTTGATAGCTATTAGTTGGACTTTTTAATCTACGTAGCCAATATTTTATGACATCTATTCGATATGCTCAAAGTTTTGCCATATTTTTGGACGATTTCTTCTGTCAAAAAGGTTCCATAATAGTTATGGAGAAAAAATTTTCGAGAATTTAATATTGGCGTCATTTAATTTTTATCATATCAATATATCCTTTAAAAAATTTTTGCATAAATTTTGAAATTTCAAAAGAATCAATCACACATTATATTAGAAACAGTAAAAAATGAATGAAATTATCAATCGTTATCAATCTTTTATCCTTACTCTAAAACAACATATGACTGACAATTGAAGATATGTGCTAATTGATAAGATAGCTTCGAGCAGTAAAGTATATATCATAGAGTTTAGTCTAACTATTGATTTAAATTGATAATTAATTTGTTAGTAGTTGATAAAATTTTCTTGTTTCTATCAATAATTGATAATATCATTGAGATGATTTGATTAACAAATATTTCATCAAATTGGAATAAATAATGGAGAGATTTTTTC